AATTCGCTTAAACTTTTGTCGTAGACTGTATCTAATGCCTATATATAGGTCATCCGTAACGAAAGGGTTAAAAACAAAATTTATGCAAAATCTCTACTTTATGCGTTTTTATCTAATAAATATTGATTTTAGTTGATAAAAAAAGAAGAAGTTGAATAAATACGGCAATAATCTTGCAACAGTATCCACACATGCACCACTAGACTAGACTTATGTTCATTATAAGTCATATTGTATGAAAACCTATGAAGAAAAACGCTATTAAAAGAGTTTTGAGAGGATTATGTGTAGTATACAGGTACTCTATATAAGACAAATAATTTTTTTTCGTTTAATCTAAAACCAAAAAGCCATTATGAAGAATAGTCATGTGGCTTCTTTTGATTTCAAATCGTTCCGCGAAAAGAAGCTCTATTGATAATCTATAGATAGTCGTTTAAAATGCAAATATAAGGAGAAAGATTGATTAAAAAAAGTACATTGACAACGAAACAAACAAACGTTAATGCAGTTTTATTATTCTTTCCATTCTGTTTTCGTTCTTGTATGTATAGCCACTTATCAAAAACAAGCGAGAGTGTAAGTAAAGAACCGAATTTGAAAAGAAAAGCGAAGCTGCATATTCTTCTTCCTTTCTCGTTCGTCTGTCACTATAGTTTCATTTAATTGATGAGTTAATGTATGAAAAGCATGGTGAAGAATAGTTAGACGGCTTAAAAAGGTTATATCACGAAATACTTCTAATTATCTAAAAATTTTGCCTCTGTAAGTGGTTTATTCTAATGGAAGCTGTTGTTTTTTATAATCAAAAATATACATTTACGAAAGGCTTTGCTTTCTAACCGTTTGATATATTTAAAAAAAAGTTGTGTTTTTTTGAGAGTGTGGGTGAATGTGAGTGTGGATGAGAGTGAGTGTGAGTATTCTATTTAATTTATCCACTCTCACACCCACATGCTCTTTAGACTAAAACAGTATGGGACACACTTGGTCAATCGATGAATGAGGAATATTACGTTGTATGTAGCCGGTCGTTATTCTAATTGAGATTGTATATGGCTACGAGCATGTTTCATAATTGATGAATATTTTCTAATCATGTGTGAATTCTTCTGTTTTTTTGATAAAATGAGATGTAGGTAAAATTGCTTTCAAGAGATCGATCATGTCCTGTATATTCTCCATTGTTTTCAGACACGGTGAGGATGTTTTCGGTGCTACTTCCATCGCTTTTTCATAATGTTTCGTTGCTGCCATAAGATCATGAGTAATAAATAGTAACTCAGCAATATTTTTGTACGCTACGAAATGTTCGTCAAAGTCTAGTGAGCTTTCAATTAAAAGGCATTCTAAGAATTTGATATAATATTTTACAGACAGTTCTCTGTCATTTATATCATTGTAAGCAACGGACAAAACATTGTATGTTCGCAGTAGATCATGATTGTTTTGCGTTGAACATCTTGAGGGTGTGGGTGTCTAGATGAGGGTGTGAGTGTGTAGTTGTGGATGTGAGTCTGGGTCGGGGTGGATGTGGGTGGGTATGAAAATAATATATAGAATCATATTTACCCATACCTATACCCACACCGACTCCCCGACGTTTTCATATGTTGACATATTTTTTGTCGACGTTTTACCATGTCGGCGTTTTAACTTGTCGACGTTTTCATTGTCGACATTTTGACACCTCATCGTATAGGAACCACCAGGAAATGGTTGAACTAAATGATGAATATATGCACGATCAAGCAAATCACTTGCATTTAAATCAATTGTTGATGTTACAAGAAATTTCTTGGATTTATCAATTGATGTTGTTAACGAAGTGGAAATTGAAGCTACTGCTGTAAGATACTGTATTTGATATCAAGAGAGAGGGATAAAGATGTTCATCGAGGCAAGAAAGAATAAGTAACATCTGAATTTGTTAAAAGAAGATATTATAACATAACATAATAACTTAATGAATTATTTTATTGAAAAAAATAAACTAATTTGTTACTATTGTGAATTACTTTCTATTTGACCTTTTCAAACGTTGAATTTCAAATTTTTGTTTTAAACATACATCTTCAAATTAATTTATTTTATTTTGTTTATCTTTTGATTTTATGTGTTGTTTTTTAACAAATAATTCTAATAAATGATAACGCATATCAATTGAAAGATTAATTTTATTGCATTGTTCATAAATAGTTTCTTGAAGTTTATTTAAACGATAAAGTTATGATAATTTTAATAAATCAAATAAACGTGTTAAATTATTATCATATTTATATTGATATAGGATTAATTGTTGATATACAAAGACGTTCAATATTTTTTTCAAGTATAAATATTGAATACTCATCTGATAATGGTAATAAATACATTGCATTTGTATGATCAATAGATTGTAATATATTTGGATAAATACATTTTAATAATTCAATTATACCTTGAGGGTGTGACTATGCTTGCGTTTTCCCTATAATCACATCCACCATCCTCAAGATAGGTGTAGCTATGAAGAGAACGCACTCATACACACACCCACATCTCTTTATAATATTTTATGTTTTCTATTACTAATAGAAGAATAAAGTATCTATTTAAAACTATATCTGTTCAGAAACTTTCATTTGTTTTGTCAGAAAAAAAATAATATTTTAATCCTTTTACGAATAATACTGATATAAATAATAAAAATAAGAGATTCTACATTTTAAAATTAGATTTAATTAGAAAAAATATTCTTAAAAGGAATTTAAATTCATTACGCTCCAATATTCAACGTACGTAAAATACATTATTTTTCTTTATTTCAAACAATCACTATGCGATAATTTTATTCATCAAAATTTGGAAAAGAAAGGATCACCATTAACAAGAACGAAGTGCACAGAAACAAAAGAGTAATAAGAAAAGCAATAAAATAAAAGTTAAAGATCACTATGAGAATTGAAGCACATAGACTATCACACATGCGGTAAATGAGAAAAACGATAAGTTCGGAAGGACTGTTCATTCAAAAACAAAGCATCACATTCATATTTGACGGGATTTTTTCATAAATTAAAATTGAACATTTCACATGTTATGCTTTACAGATCATAATGTTCTTGATCTGCATCCTATAATAAAATAATAAATCAAAATAAATATATCAATAAATATTAAAAATTGAATATACTTTTTTTGATTTTGTATGTGTACTATCATCATCATCATCACCATCGATAATATTTTCATCTTGATTTATATTAGTTTCTTCTCCATCTTGTGGTTCATCATCAATTTTTTCATCTAATGAAACACCCATAGCTCGTCGTAACATTGATTCAATACGATCAGCAAAACCATCTGAATCATTTAAATCAAAACCTGATCGAAGTGTTGCTGCTTCATACATAACAGTAGCTAAATCACTTGCAACTTTATCATCTTTCGAATCTATAACACGTCGAAGTAAATCTTTAATAAGTGGATGACGTGGATTAATATCTAATGTTTTCTTTTGATTTAAATAATAATTTTGTGTTGCATCTCCACCACTTTTTTGATAAGTTTGTGCACGAGCAATTCGTTCCATATTTCCATCATAACCATATTGTGAAGCGACAAGTGCCATGGGTGTTTTAACAAGACGTTCGGATATTTTTGCTTCAAGAATTTTTCCACGAAATTGTTCTTTAAGCCATACTAATAATGGTTGATAAGTTTTTTCTAAATGTTTTTTTTCTTCTTCTTCTTTTGCATTTGATTTGTCTAATTCAAGACCATCTTTTGCAAGATTTTGAAATCGTTTTCCTTCAAATTCAGGTAATGATTGCATACAATATTGATCAACAGGATCAGTTAAATATATAACTTCATAACCTTTTTTTAAAGTACGTTCAACAAATGGAGATTTCTTTGCACTATCCATTGATAATGTAGCTATAAAATAAATATGTTCTTGATTAGGTTTCATACGTTCAACATATTCTGTTAAACTGATTTGTTTATTTTTTGATAATGATGTTGTAAAACGAAGTAATTTAGCTAAACGTGTACGATTTGCTGAATCTTCAATAATACCTAATTTTACAGATGTACCATATTCTTTCCAAAAAGCTTCATAATCTTCTGGAGAAATTTTTTTTATCATATCTAAAGCTTTTCGTACAAGTTTTTTCTTAATAACTTTAAGTAATTTTGATTGTTGTAAAGTTTCACGTGAAACATTCAATGGTAAATCATCACTATCAACAACACCACGAATAAATGATAAATATTTTGGCATCATTTCTTCAAAATTATCCGTAATAAATACTCGACGAACATAAAGTTTAATCGCATCAGTTGGACGATTATAATTTGTAAATAAATCCATTGGTGCATTTTTTGGAATATAAAGAATTGATTTAAATGTTACTTCGCCTTCAGCAGTAAAATGACTGTAAATCATAGGAGTTTCAGTTTCTTTACTAAATGTTTTGTAAAATGCTAGATAATCTTCATCGGTTACTTCGGATGGTCTAAATAAAATAAATAGATTATATTTCCGTGAGAATAAATATTCAAAATATAACTCTGTTTCAATATTTGTTTATGTGCTTATTCAATAGAATTTATTCTATGGAATATCCTATTTACAGTGTATCTAACTTACTTTCGTTGCCATATTGGTTTACTTTCATTCATTAATTCCCAATTCCAAACAGTTTTATCAACAGTTTTCATTTTCTTTTTCTTTTCTTCTACTTTTTCTTCTTCAACAGCAGCATCTTCATCTGATTTCGTATCAGTTTCATCGGTTTTTTTCTCTTCAGTAACAACTAAAAATAACAAAAATCTTAATATTTTCTTGTAATTAAAAAATATTATCTCACCTTCATCATCTTCAGGTACTTGTTCTTTAGTAGTTGTAAATTTCCATAAATAAATATTAAAATTAATAAATTGTGAATATTTACGAATAATATCATCAAGTGTATTTTGTTCCAAATATTCGCCAGCTTCTTCTTTCAAAAGAAGACTAAAATGAAAGAAATTATATCTAACAAAAAAAGAATTTGTGTATTTTACCTGACTGTTGTTCCTCGACCAAGTGTATTACCACGAGGATCTTTAAAAACATTAAATGAAGTTGAATCAGATTCCCAAATATATTGATCATCATCATTATTTTTTGATGTAACAATAACTTTATTAGCGACAAGAAAACTTGAATAAAATCCAACACCAAATTGTCCAATAAGATCACTCATTGATCCACCTTCTGTTTGTACATCTTGAACTCGATTTAAAAATTCTGATGTATCCGATTTTGCAATTGTACCAAGAAATTTAACAAGATGATCTCTTGTCATTCCAATACCAGTATCTGTTATATGTAACATTCGATTATCACGATCAATTTTAATACGTATTGTTAATTCTTCTTTATCACCAAGTACACTCTTATCAGTAAGTGATAGAAAACGAATTTTATCAAGTGCATCGGATGCATTAGATATAAGTTCACGTAGAAAGATTTCTTTATTTTTGTATAATGAATTGATAATCAATTTCATCATACGATTAACTTCTGTTTGAAATTCATGTTTTTCCGATGCATCAACTAATGTTCGAAATTCTTTAGCACTTAAACCATCCAATTTAATGGCTTCTTCTTCTCTATATAACAAAAAAAAGATCAAAGAACTAAAACTAAATTATAGATATTACTTTTGAACAACTTCATCATCTGTCTTTGATCCATCTGCATGTTTTCCTATATCATCATCAACTTTTGGTGGAAGTGATGTTGATGTTTCAACTTCATCTTCGGCTTTACAAGGATCTAACAGAGACAAAAAAAAGAAGGTGAATGATTCCGCATAAAAGATATTTAGATCTTACTTGTGAGAAATAATACTCCCAGAAGAGTAACAAATATAAACCACTTAAACATGGTTATTATCGTTTAGTGAGAATTGAGAGAATGTAACAAGTAATGCCTATTTGATTATCAGAAAGAATGAGATTGTCTCGTTTAATATGTACGATTATTTTACCAGTTAAAAACCAACACTTAATGTTCTGTTAAAATTGGAATGATCAACTTGAAAGCCAATGAACCACCGACGTGTATTGCTACCTCATTTTCTGCCAGGTAGGGAAAGATGGCGTTGATTTTGACAGAAACAATGCAAAATTTATATTTTAAACATTCTATAGATAAGTTTTCTTTTATATAATTAATAGATAAGAAATACAGCAACAGTTTGAATAATTCATTTGGAGTTCGTTGCGATAGATTACAGTATATAAATGGCTGATGGTTCTTTTTTTTATTAAATTTTGTTTGATGAAAACTTCAAGTAGTGACGTAACTAAGCTGTAGGCAGGAAAGAGAAATAAAGGTTTCATCGTTTTCTGTCTACCATCAGCAGGTTATGAAGATATAAGAAGAAATGTAGACCCACACCCACACCCTCAAGATTTCTTCTAAATTCTTTTACATTAACTTCTAAATTTTATATGTTTATAACATAATACAACAAAAACACATATTTTTCATTCAATCGAAAATATCTACATACAAAAAAACAAAACAAAACAAATACAATAATTATCTAGTTCAAATAATATCCCAAAAAAAGTAATCATTTTAATACAATAAATAATACAATATACTGAGCACCAACAAAAACATAAATATAGATCAAGATGAAAATGTTTTTGCACGTTCACGTAATTTAGTTATTTCACTTGATATAATTAATGATGGTCCTAATTTTATTTTCATTGTTTCTCGTAAATGTTCTTGTGTCATTAATAATAATGCTTGACCATCCATTTCACTTTCATAAAAAGCTTCACGTATTGTTTCATTCGTTAAACGTGCTATAAATTCTCCTACTTGTAAAACCTATAAAAATTAACAAAAGTATATTTTTGTTGTCCTTTTAGAATAATAGTAAATTCTTACCGTCCATTTACTAGGATCAGTTGGAAGACCATGATCCGGTGGTAATGGTATTTGTTCATCAATATTTGGTTCAACTGGTTGTTGTGGAATAATATTTTCTATCAGATTTTTATTTACTCGTATTGGTTCTGTGATTGTTGGAGGTTTATTTTCATTCAATTTTAATGAACATAATTTTGAACAATATTTTTTTTCTTGATCAAAAAATCTTGAAGAAAAATCTGTTTTCTGACATGTAATGCATCGAAGTTGATCATTGTTTTCTTTATGAATTACATTCTCATTGGGTAAAAACGGATGACTACTTTCACGGATTACAAAACCACCTATATAATGAACAGCAATATCATTATTTGATGATTTTATTGATGAAGAATTTAATGGAGCAATATTAGAAACATTGGATGATGATGTTGTTGTAGTAGATGTTTGTAAGTTATGTATTGGTGTTATTGAAGGCACAGTTGGTTGAGAATATTCTTTTGATATAGATGGAGATGAATAAGGAAATGTCGTAGATGATAATGCTGTATTTGTATTATTAGAATATGTATTGTATGTAGGTGGTGCAAGCATATTTGTTGAAGTTGTAGTACCATTAAGTAATGATGGATATGCATATTGATGTTGATGTTGTTGTAATAATGACGGATTAGTCACAGGAATTGTAGTCTAAATAATATGTATAAATCTTATATAAAATTTCTACAAATGATTTTATAAACATACTGTTTGATTTGGAAATATAAGTGAACCACATCCATTTGAATGATTAGATAATGTATTAAATGTTGCTGTTTGTCCGGGTACTAATAATGTTGTATTTGTGACAGATGGTATTATTAATTCTGTACCTGTTGAATCACTTTTTATTGGTTTATTTGTAAATGGATCACGTTCATACAATCTAAATATTGATTTTTTTATTTATGAATTCTATTTTTAATAAAAAAACTAACCTTGGTCGTCCACGTTTCTTTTTCGATAAACTTGAACTAATTAAAATAAGAGTCTAGTCAAACAAAAAATAAAAAAACTAATTTTTCACTTTACCTGCTCGATCGACGATGACGATGATTAACTTTTTGTGCAATTTGTGATAATGAAAGTGATAAATTATTACTATCTGATATTTTTGTTTCATCTAATGATGAATTAGTATCATATGTTTGTATATTATTTCCATTAATAATAGTTGTTGGTAAAATCGGTGGTTGATGAATAATACCTGTTAATTGTTGTGTTGTCATTGTTGTTGTATCACTTGTTAAAGTGGCTAAAAAGGAAAACAAAACATCTTTGTTTTTTCTCTTTACATATTTCTAGAAATTACTTTGTTGTTGCATGTCAATAGAAGAACTTGTGCGAACGGTTGTGATTGTTTGTGATGAATTGGAAACTAAAAGAGAGAAATTTTGTATGATATACTGATAAAAAAATTTCAAAAATTTACGTAATGAACAATCTCCATTGACAGGAAAAGAAGAAGCAACGGGTTGATTAGCAGCTGAAACAACAGTAATTGGTGTAGCTTGAAGAATTTGACCAGCTTGATTTCGAAATGTGACAGGTTTTTGTCCATCATTAGCAACTTGAACAAGCTATAGAATAAGTTAATAATTAAAAATTTCAATAAGAATAATTAAAATTTCTTATATACTTGTCCTTGATTTCCATCGACAACTAAATAAGTCGTAAATCCTGGAGATGAATTTGCTGGAACTATTTATATATTTAAAATAAGATCTTTTACAATATAAATTTAATAACTTACTTGATGGTATTGCTTTTGGAGTGAATGGTGCTATAAATAGCAAAAGCAATTAAGAAAGTTTACTTCAAAAATATTTCATGTACCTATCTGATTACCAATTAGAATTGGTTGTTGTGAATGTGGTAATATAGTTGATGTATTAATGATAGAGGGTCGAGCAAGTAATGTCGCTGGTTTCGCTGATGATCGAATAGGTTTTTTAGCATTCAAATATGTTCGAAATCCCTAAATAATAATAATATTAGATTTAATAGAGTAAATAGAAAATACATACACGCTTTGTTGTTCGTTTTATTGCTGATGTAGGTGTACTTGTTAATAATGGTTGAGCTGGAGCGATTGGTACAGTGATCAATTGTGATTGTGGAACTGATGATAGTACTACTGAAGATTCTGTTGAAGAAATAGGTGCAGGTTGTTCAACAACTTCAGATTTCAATGGTGATACACTGAAATTAACTGACGGAGGTCGAGGTGCTTCCTCTACTTGATGCATCCGGTTAGGAAAAAAACTCCAAATACCTAAAATTGAAAAGAATTATTTCATATTTTTGTTCAATTAGATTTTTTATTCATTTTTAGTTGTAAAAAAATAAGCGAATAAGAATTATTATAATAAAAACAAATTATTAAGATACACATTGTTATAACAGGTCGAATGGTTAATGTGCTTTTTAGAATTTTTTCTATTGGTTATCATTTGTGTTTTATGTTGAATAATCCAATAGAAAAATCGACAATTATCTACCAATATTATAGTTTTAAAAGGATCTAACGCGACCTCTATATGATAGAGGGTGTTTATGTAAGTATTAGATGATTGTCTTAGATTCAGTCAGTATTGTATTTATGATTTCAAAAAATAAAATGAATATTTTTTATTTAATAAAGTTAAATATCTATTCGCTACAGTTTTTATAGAATGAGATGTTATTGTTCATATTAGAAAAAACTAATAGAAGAGTGTTTATGTTGGAAAAAAATAATGATTAAGCTTTTGGTCTATGTGGATCATTGAGAGAAGCTTGTTTCAATTGTGTTGGTAATTTTCTTACAACAGCTCGTGCAAAATAATTTTCAGTTTCCATTTTATCTTGTTTTGAAACAAACGCATTAAAATTGACAAAATGAAAATTATCATAACAAAGTTTTGATTGAATTAATTCTTTTTCCATTTGTTTCTTATTTAATTTTTGAAATACGGCTTCTCGAAGTGAATGTTCTTCACGTGCTAATCCTTCCCATGGTCCATCACCAACACCAATGACAAGTAAACATACATTAGGTAAATTTGCCAACATTCGTATAGCTTCAACAAATGATTTATTATCACTTGAAAGCTTAAGTTCATCAGTTAAAATAACTAACATAGTAAAATCTCGTGGACAATAAATACCATAGGAAATTAATTTTTTTACGATGGGTGTAAATTCTGTTGGGCCACTTAATGCAACATTTTTTGTTTGTTCTAAATAACTAAATTAAAAACATACGCGTATATAAAACGACATATATGAATAAATCTTACGCATCAAGAATAAGTTGATGTGTATTAAATTCATCACCACTACCAACAATTGGAAAAAAAGAATAATCTTTTGTTTGTTCATCACCAAATCCAAAACAAGAATATTCAATTTTTGATGTAAATACATCTTCAAATATTGGACCTAATTGACCAATAGCCTAAATTAAATAAGAAAATATAGAGAAGACATATTTCTAATTAAAATAATTTTTACTTTTTGATATGGATTAAATGCTTTATTTTGTACTTTATGTAATGATTGTCCACCGTAAGTTTTTTTACCTTGCCATTCATTACTAGCTGATAAATCAATACCGAAAATAATTCGAATACGTTCAAAATAAAAATTTGATGCAATTTCTTGTTTTATTTTTTCAAATGGTCTAAGAAGGAAAAATATATATATCGTATTTTTTTTCTTATATCTATATTTACTTTTTTTTCGATGTTGGTAGTGAATTAAATTCCATTCCATCGAGACTTGCAAGGAGATCTAATCGAGCTTTTTGTTTTAAAATATTTCTACGATAATATTCGTATAAAAGAACAAAAGCAAAAAACGCAACAAGATAATATACTAAAGCCCACAGCATTTTCTATATATGTTAGCAATCAACCGTGAATACGTTTATATTACTGACGATCAAAACATTCTACTTTGTTTATATATACGTATGTACAGCCTGACCAACCGTAACGAAACCAATTTTTTTTTCTTGTTATCGTACTTTTCAAAAATCAGTCATAACTTTGTATATATCTAGTGTGGTTAATGTAGTTAAGCCATTATTATCAAAAAAAAGAACAGTTAAATAATAATTACTTGAATCAAACATTCATATTTTTAAATATTATTCTGTTGAAGAAATTATTATCAAAATGTTAGTCTGACATGAATAACATTTTTCGTCAGGGTAACATATATTACCCGTGATAGGTATAATTATTAAATATTTAGACATAATTTTTTTTCACGACAAAAAATATTATTTCTTATACATAAAAGAATTTTTTTGATCTTGAATAAGATTTCAAGAACAGTATATCAACAAAGAATATATCATATTCTATTTAATCCAATAACTGATAAACCCTATCATTGATCATAATTCGAAATAGACGTTATCATTTTGACAAGGCAATATTCGTCCTTCGCACATATGTACCATCGATTTCCCAAGTGTGTTATTTGCATATGATCATCGATGACCTATATAATTCTTGTTTTACAAGCATACAAATCTTCTTATCAATGATTACTCAACAATCTTAATTCTTCTACTATAGAATAGTAAAAAAAAAATCTTTGCCTTCTTTTCACACGGTCGTCATAGTCACTCTTTATTTCTTTTGTCCAAAAAAAAAACAATTTACGCCGGAGAAACAGACACCGATCGAAACAATAATAGAAAAAACAAAACAAAAAGCTTGCTTCTATGACGTTTAAATATCTGATATAGATATATATATATAAATATATACACAAGAAAAATCTATATACATGAAAGTAGCAAGAAAGTTTTGCTATACATATACATTAAATAACGAAAAAACAAAAATAAAAGAAAAAAAAGAGTGGCACAAATCAATATTGTTCTTGTTTTTTTCCTCTATTTATCCCAAAGATAATACTAATTTTGAAAAAAAAATCGACGGTTGATATATGGAAAGATGACTAGATAAATAGAAGGAAAAACGAATGATATATAGAATTGATTTGTGTTTCTTTTTTTGTATTTTTTTTTTTGAAAACTGTTAACATCACTGTTTGTGGCACGCGGGTCAATTGATTTATTTTTTTAAATATTCTGAACGATCAACATTTTCATCATCCCAACCATTATCTTTAATCATATGCACAAGTTCAATAATATACTTCCCTTCTTTATATTTTTGACTTGATTCAAATGCATGTTCCTTGAATACAAAAATTAATATTTTATAATAAATATTAATCAATAGATCTTTACATATTTCCAGCCAAGCAATGTTTTACAACAATCACAATAAATATCAGCGACTTCATGAAGACCTGTAAGTAATACTCGTTCTTCTGCAGCACTGGTATTCACATTAACACTTAAAAAAATAGAGAAGAAAAAAACCCAAGAATAAATATTAAATAACTAAAGAAAAGTACATACACTGAATTAAATAAGTATGCACGACCTTGACTGCCTTGAAATGACTAAAAATACAAAATAAATAATTTAAAATTATATTTAAGTTTTGTAAATACTTTTGAAATAAGTTCATCATGACTAGCCAATTGAGCCCGACAATGAAGACATGAATAGGTTCGATGAGTTTTAGCTGGTAAATAATATTGGAATAATTTACCGAGTGTTTTGGAACCGTTATGATGACTATTCTTCACCATCTTTCGGTGAACCTATTGAAAATTATAGAAACAAAGAGAATATGAAATGAGAATGAAAACTTCATTGTTTTGTTTATATATATATATATACATACATATACATATAGTTAAAGACAGGAAGAAAAGAAAAAAAATGCGTATAAAGCATGTCAAACTGTGAACATCATCAAAGTAAACGACACGAATACCACGTGTGTTTTTTTCTTGTATTAATTCAATCTTTTATATAGTTAAATATTATACATTCTTGATTCCTGCCCCCCCCCCCTCTTTCCCTCTCTTTTTCATTTTCACCTTCAAAGATCAATAACAAAATCTATCACGAAAGAAAACATAATAATCTACAGGAATGAGCATTTCTTATAACTTAAGTACAATATACATATATATATTCATACAAGGTTATTCTATATCCCTTATTTCCTATATTAACTATTTCTTTAGTCTTCTTCAATGTTAACATATATATAAAGAAAAAAAACGTGTCAATAATTTTTTCTTTTGACTCTCTTTTTTTTCTATTAACATATTTTTAAATTCACTCACGAAAAGTGTAACATCAATTACTGAAGACGAGACAGAAACGTTTATCTTTCAGCATACTCCTTCTCCCTGTCTCTGTCTCTCTTTCTTTCTCTCGTCAGCCAGCTCAATAATAAAAAATAACTCGAATTTAATGACCATACACATATGTCACAACTACAACGATCTAATCGATCAATGAACTCTCTCATACAACGAAACGCAAATGACAAGAAATAAAAATTGATTGAGCGTATCCAATTTGCGTTCTTTCTTTTTTCTTTTTTTTTCATTTCTTTCTATCAAACACCATTCCTGATCTAGATTTGTACTTCTTGCGCAATCGAACAAATACAAATGTGTGTTCAATAGTATGAGGCACGCAAAAATTATTATAAATATATTATATATTTGTTGTGTCCCCTTACGGTCTCTAATCCGATAATGATGAGCAGCTTGCATAACTTTACTTTAGTAAATTTGACTATGCAATTAAAAGAAAAATAAAAGAAAACTTTTTAAAGGTCAAGATTTCCATAGTTATTAATCATTCTTTCGTCTGTAAATTGAAGGACAATGCTGCCGTGATGTAGGAGATAGTCTATATATACACGACATTTACTCAAAGTTTTGATAAGACAATAAAACACAAGTGAGAAGAATAACTCAATCGACTGGTCAAGCAGGGGGCTAAATACACAAACGTATCACTGACGCGACAGAGATATTTATCTGTCTTACTTCTCAATGAAACATCATCAACACTCTTGTCAAAAATGAACAAATGAATGAGTATAATCATCTATATGTATATATACACATATATGTGAGATAACTTACAGTAGATAGAAATGTCCAACAGCTTGCCACCCCGATAGTTATAAATAATGAATTCAATTTACAAATAAGGAGATCGTTTATATTGATAGATAATATTCTATAAAAGAAAATAATGGTTTAATATAAATATAGGTTATGCATAAATAAATATGTATATAAATAATATGCATGTAAGATAATTTAAATGACATTTAGTATTTCAAGTGGCTTGCTAGACTCGTTTTTTCTCGTTTATTTCTACACCTCTCTTTCGTGAATCAAATTGATAACAATCAATATGCACACACACAGCTTAATGAAGATGAGACGACGATGAAAAATACTAACCTTGACGTAGTTGCAATATGAGCCAATTTTTTTTTCTCTTGTAATTTCCTCTAGGTCTTTTTTTCTTTTCTACACGATGTAATAACAAGGAACTAATGTTTCCCTATAGTGCAATGATGGACGCTATGATAGAAACTATTCTATCTTTTTATTTCCGCTTCTTATCATATAGGACATTTCGAACGACGATTTAGCATCACATTCTTCTGCTTAGTTGATTATCGTCAACGAATACTAGAACAACTATATACGCAAAAAAGAAAGAGATTGTTGACGACTAGAAAATAACATTAGGTTCGAGAGATATAAAATTTAGATGACTTATTTTCTTTCTATATATATCATTTTTATTTTTCTTTGTCTATAAAATAAAAATCTAGAAATGTTTTGATGAACATGTGAACACATATGTTACCAATTATGATCAGAGAGAAATGACGACGTCATCGACAATCTAGTAGTAGTAGTAGTAACGACGCACAAGCAAGTAAACGACAGAATGGGATTGACACTGTCCCTGTGCTGTATGTGTATGTGCGTGTGTGTGTGTGTGTGTGTGTTTGCATGGCTCTCTTTCCCTTCTCTTATTCTACTTCTTTTCTTTTTCTTGTCTCTTTCTATACACTGCTTCGTTCTTTTTTTTATACCTCTCCAAATAACTTTTTTTTTCATGTATATGACATAAGTCAGAATAGAAGTAAATAAAGAAATTGATATAAATTCTGGTCTATTATTGTAACTATCACTACTCGCCAACGACATGAATGATTCTATTTCTATTCTCTTCCACTAATAAAGTTAAATATAAATGCGTGTGAGTGTCTTGTTATCTAAGGACAATTTCAATGAATCAAGGTCAATTCAAGTCTTTTTCTTTGTGTGCTAATAAAAAGCAGCTGTTCAAATATAATGATTAAGTCATCGCTCAGTATATTATTATACCCTGTTGCCACCTTTTTTTCAATTCTTTTTCTCGAATGTAAAGTATTTGTTCATTTAACAATACAATGAATAGAAGGATTTATATGAATACAAAAAAAAGAAGAGAAACGATTGAGTGGCCTTGTTAAACAAAAATAAACTTCTACGGATAATTGAAAGATTTTTTTTCTCTCTAATTAAGAAATCGAACAACAATTACTTGCTACATAAAATTTTTTCTTGTAATTTTGTAAAGAATGCACAGTTGAACACGAGAAGTAATTAAAAATATGTTGCTATATATATTTTTGCTTTTGTTAGTTGCTGTTGTTGTTAGGTTTCTTATTGCTGCTGATGATGGGTAAATTTTATCGACTTGTTGTGTTTCTGCTGCTAGTATATAGAAGAAAAAAGGGTTGTTTGAGCATCTGAAACGCAAAAAAACAACATCCTCCGCCTGACGTTCGTCTCGCAAAAATCTACCCCCTTCACATACCGAAAAAAATGCTCTTTTTTTACACGGGGCCTCGATCAGCTGCTGCTGTTTTCCTCTATCGTTCTTTCATTCTGTCTTTTTTCTCGACGTATTCTTCTTCTTCGTTTCTCTTATGTTTTACATCTTCTACTACTATATTACTATTACCCTATTCATGTGATGACGCTCACGCGCATTCATAACCCCTATTGTTGTGCTGTTTTATATGATGATATGAATAGCGTGCTCAGACAAAAAAAAAGAAAAAGAAAAGCGAGCTTCAATAATAGATAAATAAAACTAGTCATATGCCCATTATAAATCTACGCAGTTTATTTTTATAGAAGATATTTTTTACGTTTAATAGTATTTACAATAGATTTTTAAGTGTTATAAATCTCAATAATTAACAAACATGTATACATAAAAATAAAACGATGAACAATGAACATTTCATGTTCACTTGAGACATTCAAAATTAATCGAGTGACAATGAAACGATTTTTAACAGTATTTATACAAATTCAATGATTTTCAATCCAATTCTCTCGCCCTTTATATAAATCTAACATAAACATCTATATGTATAGGTGAGATGTATTCGTTGATAAAAGTGCTATTTGTTCACACTGAAATCGAAGATAGAAAATGTATTATGATGAGACAATAAGTATATTTATATAGTATATATGCAAAATCATACATCGGTTCATTTTACATCATCATATTCATAGACTTTTGTCTATTGTTGATGTTCATACATATATATATATATATAAAATAAATAATTATATGATGAGACAAAAATATATATATAGATGATGTAATTGACAACGTGTTCTTCATATATATATATATTTTTTCTTTCTTTCGCATAGATGTAAACTGTAAAGAAGATAAACTAGAAAAAGAAATGTGACAATTTACTATGATCTATTTCTTCATTTCTAATTTTATTTGTAAATAAAAACAAGATACAAAAGACAATGAAATATGTAAAAAGCATGTTATTAAATTTGTTCATTAAATTTTCACACATATTTTATGATAGAAATATCCTTGAATCAATTTACTTTGTAAATTTCAAAAGAGCGAAAAAACGAAAAGCGAGGAGAAAAATAAGTGCAATCATGCATAAAAAAAATGTGATTCAATAAGGGTTGTTGTATCACATAAATGTTGTATTATAATCGATCGTGGCGACGTTATTTAAGACCATTTTCTCGAGTCTTCTATGTTTTTATTCTATTATTTTGTATTGGAATTGTTTGGTTGATATTTACAGTATATCTCTTTAATAGAATTAATAATCATCATGTCGAACAGAAAATTGATATCACAACACGAAGTCCATCATTAATATTTTGTTTTGTACTTACTGAAAATAATCGTCATTTAACATCAGCACGAGCTATTGCTTATAGTTGGGGTAAACGATGTGATCGTTTTTATTTTGTTACTCGTCTTCTAAATACAAGTATTGAATTAATGACATTAGAAGCATTTGAAAATACAACTGATATATCACCAACTACAATAACACAAGAAACTCTTAATGTTCTTCTATATTTACAACAACAATATATGTTTGCACCGTATCATTGGTTTTTACGAGCAAGTGATGAATCATTTGTTATAATGCCAAATCTACGACGACTTATTAATCAATTAAATAAATATGAAAATAATCGTCCATTAGCTTATGTTGGTGATGTTGAAGAATTATATAAAAAATATCAAATTGTAACAAGTGGTTCGGTTATGTTATTTAATCGTATTACATTAGATCGTTTAGGTAGATTATATAATTTAGAAAATTTACAATCTAAAGTTGATAAAGAAAATGAAAAATGTTTAAACGAGATGATCTATGATCATGAATTTGTTAAATGTATGAAACAATATGAAATAATTATTAATCCAATCAATAATAATTTAATACTTTCACAAAATTTATCATTCTATAAGATGGATAAACGATTAAAGGTAAAGTAGAAATAAGAGAACTAATCCTCTAAAATATGCTTACGGCCATACCACGTTGAATACACCAGTTCTCGTCCGATCACTGAAGTTAAGCAACGTCGGGCTCGGTTAGTACTTGGATGGGTGACCGCCTGGGAATACCGAGTGTCGTAAGCTTTTTGTTTTTTCTTCTTTGTTTATTTTTGATTACTATTTTAAATAATATTTTTTTTTTGTTTTAATTATAGGATACTTGTTGCAGTTCAGATACGGCTGCATTTCGTTCAAGTAATGAAACAGATATGTATAAATTTGATTTTTTATACCATCGACTTGATGCATTATCAAACATAGATATATAATGATCTCTTGTATTAAATATATTTATAAGAAAACAAAAAAAATAAAATAAAATAAGACACATTAGCAAAATATTGATAAATTGCATTGTTTAAAAAAAATATATATAAAATTAATTATTCATTTTTCATGTCTTTTTGTATAGTCACCGGTAGGATGTTTATCACGTGATGCTGATCGAGTGCGAATTGAAACTGGTGTACGTACAGGCTAGAAGAACAAGAGCAGTTAATGGATGATTCAAAAAATAATAGAAAGATTCTTTTATAGACTTACAGAATTATTTCTTGTTATTATTTTTGATTGTTGTTGAAGATTTCTTTGATACTGTGGATCATAGAAATAAATCGAACGAGCTCCTGGAGCTGCTTGATACCATTTAGCAGGCGTATTCCATTCACGAAAAATTCGTCCATAATCTCTTGGTTGTCGACGATGTGTTTGTGTTTTAACAAGTTGATCTTGTGCTTTATTGATATATTGTTGCTGATTTTCATTACTATTTGTTTCTTGTCTTGTTGTTTTTTCCATTGTATTCATATCTAGAGTTGTTGCAACTTTTTGTTTATTTCAATCAATATAAAAGCCAGTGTATACTCAAGTAAATGACAATAGTAAAAACGACATCATTTTATCATGCCGGATGTTACTTTATATGTCTCTTACTCATCGGTTGACAACAATGATGACGTTAATAAGAGAGAAAAAAAATAATAAAATAAAGAAGAAAAAAAATTAAAACGATGTCTATACGAGAAGAAGAAAAAAAATAAGGAGAAGGCGTAGAAAAAGAAACTACCTGATAAGAATAAAAAGAACGACAATTAAACTCTCATATTACTCAAAAACATATTGAAGCTGAGAGGATTCAAATAAAAGCTTTAACTCAATATTGAACGAATGACATTAAATATATGAATATATAATTATCAGTAATTGCCTATTTTTTTCTCTCTCTATCGTTTGACAATATCCTTAGTCACATTTTTTACCGATAAAAATAAAATCTGCATCATATGAATAGAATTTATGAATAACAGCAAGAAACAATCAGCATTCTACAACGTTATTTCTTGTTAAAAATCAAAATGCGATAATATAACAGGCACATACTTGAAAAAAGAAGAGAAAAACGTTTTTTCTTTCTTTTTTTAGCTTTTAAAAAAAAATATTTCTATTACGACACTAAACATAACGACAGTTGACATATACTCATAAATAAAATTTTATTGAAATGTAAATATATATTTAAGTAATTCTTTTAAAATAGTCACTTCTACACAAATTATATATATATACTAATGAAATGTAAACAATATGCAATCACAGTTGTGAACCAGATGATATATACGATGAAGTGTGTTTTCGATTAACAAACAGCTTATTTCTCATGAGATAAATAAACACAAGCTGTTTATTAGACTGAACAACATTTATATGATTCCTTTTAATGCAATTATTTATTTTGTCTAGCAATGAACAACTACTATTTATTTACTTCGATTTTATATACAATATTGAAAAAAGAAAGAGCATTCATCTATCTTGTTGTTGATGTATGATATAAAATCGATTGACTAATAATAGGTTTTAATAGAATATAAGCATTAGATGCATAAGTTTGTGAAATAGATGATTGTAGAAATATTTGATTGAGAAATTTTAAATTATAACTATGATTATAATCAGTTATATGTTTAACAAATAGATTTGATATACCAGTAAGCATATTAGAAAAATCTTGTTGTTGTTTTCGATAAATAGATAATAATTCAATATCAATTGAAAATGATGTTAAACTTTGACAACCGAGTAAAAATAATTCTGCTGTTTTACGATAATATTCAATAATAGATGAACATAATATTGCTAAGAAATCAATTGCATTATCAGATAAAGTCTTGAAAGTAAAAAAGAAATTAAACAAAAAAATTGAAATTTCTTTTTTACTTTTTGATCAAATTCTGTATCGATTGATTCATATTCTTTAAGAAATTGACTAGCTGATTCATAAATTTCAAGTAATTTATCAACTGATATCGATGATCTTAATTGTGTTTGATAGGATGTAAAATTTTTTGATAAAATATCTAATGTTGGAATATCTTGTTCATTATTACTTATTTGAAAATAACTTGAAATTTCTTCAAGTATTTTTTCATTTTCATATCTCATCGTTTGAAGAATAATTGTAGATTGATTTGATAATAATTCAAGTGCTTCAAAATGTATCATACCTAAACAAAATTCAAAAGGAAAAATTTCATGAACGATAATATTACACATTTATTTAACCTTGATATTTTTCAAATAATTGAAAAAATGTAACAGGTTCATTTTTAATAATTATTGATTTTAGTTCTTTTTCATGAACGGTCTAATAAATATATGAAGAAAATTTTTTGTATAAGAAGAAAAAATAAACACACTTCAGATAGTGTTGATTGATTTATTAAATGACGTGTTCCTTTTAAATCTGAATCAGCTTCATTAATAATCTTTTAATAGTTTAATGAATATTTGTAGAAAGAAGCCAATAAAAATTTATTATTTATACATACATCAAATGTTTTTTTACCAACGTTTTCAAGAGCATTAAGACTACCTGAGACAACTTTCATACCCTATAAAAATAGATTATAGAAAAAATATAATCAAGAAGATATTTTATGTTGATATTGATCTTTAATAAATTTTTCAAGGTTAATAGTATTTTCATTAGAAATTGTTAGCCGATATGTAGAAAAAAAATTATTTTCCCCTGTAAGCATTTCTAAAATTAGAACAATCAAGATTGAATACGAGCGCATTGTATGTAAAGAGAATTTAAATAGACAGGAACTACATTACAATTGAATGGATACATTCACAAAATATTAATTTGACCATGATAGCTATTAAGGATAAAATTAGAAAGATCTGTTTAGTACAGATGAAAAGCTCATTACACACGTTTCTAAAATTAGATTCAATAGATCTGACTTATTATGAACTGTCTATAGAATATTGATTTTTCTTTTTACAAACGTACAGTATTTGTTAATTTTCCTAAACTTAATGCATTAAACCATCCATCTTGATTTGTTATGAAATCGATTTTATCATTCAGAGTATTTGGCGTTTCAGGTTCTAAAAAGAAAAAAATTTTATAGAGATTTTCAAATAGAAAACTTTTTATACTAAACCATCTTCACTATCTGATGTTTCGCCTTTAATTTTAAATGCGATACGATCCATTTCTGCTACTTGTTGAGCATCAAGTGCACCAAGACCAGCTTCAGCAGATTCAATAGCTGCAGTAAAACTTTCACCTAAATTTTAATAACTATAAATCCGAAAACTTTTCATATAATTCTATAACATACTGACAGTATTTGTCAATGTTGAAACACTTTGTTTAGCATTAGATAGAAATGATCCAAAATGACTCCAAGATGTATGCCATGTTGGCTGAAAGAGATAATGATTTAAAAGAAAAAAATAAGAATAGACATGTTAAACATACGGAATGTACCGATGGTTGAGCAGCAAGTCTATCTAATACAAAATGAGCATCTTTAACATTATGTTTTGTTACTATTGTCGATGATAATAACTCGTCATTGTAACGAGCGATTCTTGCATTTAATTCAATTTGATTATTTTCAAATAAACTATCATCTTTTTCTAAAATAGTTGAAGTCGTCGTTTGTATCTTTTTATCTAGAGATATGTCATTGTCAATATTCCAGTCATTCCACTTGTCAGTTACTGGTGAATGAGATACTATTTGTATTTGATTTTGATTGATAGAAGTTATAATTTTATTAGATCGAGATGGAGTAATGGATTTTATAATAGAAGTTAATGTTGATTCATCTTCATCAGCACTTTCAAATTGATCTTCACCATCATTTTGCTTAGAAGAAATCGACATTGAGAAGACGTTGATGTCAAAAGAAGATTCAAGCGTTTATTGTTCTTATCAAGTTAACGTCGGAACATGTCATAGTAGATAATAGTCTATTAATTATATTAAATGAAGGAATTATCTACTTATATTACAAGTTTCTTGTCCTTTTTTTAACCTACAGAAAATTATTTGATAGCCTCAGTCATAAATTCCTTCTTTTTATCTTTCATCCAATAGTGAGTGACATCTTTCCCTGATGAATATCTATATGATATTAAAATTTAGTCTTATTGAAAATATACAGTTCATACGCCCTCTTTATTTTGAATGTTGGTTGGTGTATATATTATACATAAAGAACTTTTCAGAGATAGGCGCATTATGATTTCATAATTTTATCACAAGATGGAAGGTGATAAACAATTTTTTTGTTGAAATTTTCTTATCAGAAGATAAACTTTTGAACTTTGAAATGATGAATATATCAAGCTCAGGAGAAATCAAAATCAATTTCTCATAACGTATCATTTATCATATAACTAATGTAGTTAGAAATAGATATTTTATCTCATTATAAAAATATCGCACAACAATGATGATAAATTCAAAATAATTTATTGAACTATTTGTAATGATCTTAAAAATCTACACATTTGATCGCTGAGTTGTGCTTATTAAAAGAGATATGAGTGAGTTTCGGTAATTGAAAACTTCTTCAAATATTTATTAATAAAAAGAGAACAAATAAGTAAATTATTTATTTCAATATTAGTTTAATTAGTTCATCATCTATAATCTCATATCTTAGTTTTGTTTTTGTTAAACCAATGAAAATATTCTCATACTCAACATAAAGCAAACAACAATAAAGAAAGAAAAATAAAGAATACAAATACACACACACACACACACAAACAAACTACTCAAGTCGAATGAAAATATGTATGAGGATTTCTATGTAGGAACTAATTTTTAAAAAAATCTGGAAAATAATAAAATACATGTTAACTGGATCTCTTATGTGTCTCTACTAAGAAAGACTTTTGTTTAACATCTATAATCACTGTTCAATATGACTATATAAGAATTAAAATAAAAATAGAAAAGACAATCACGAGTTTATTTTAAACTAGTTCTTCGACTTTCTCTATCATCATTTGATGGTTCAGCTTGTTCAATAACAATTGATGGTAATTGTGAATTAGTTGTTTGATATAAAATTTGACCTTCATCAGGATTTAAAAAGCCTAAACTTAATTTACGTATTCTAAAAAATAGAAAGCAAAATGAATAGAAATTTAACACAAGGGAAAATAAAGTAAACTAACTTGTTTTTAATGCCTGCAGTTCGTGATGGTTTGTCAGTAGTTGCAGATTTATTTTTTGTTTTAGCTATAGATTTCCATAAAAATGTTTTACCAACTTCTTCAGAAAAATTTATAACACCAGTTGATGGATTAATCTTCAATAGAAAAACAACAAACAATATAATCATTTGCTAGTGACGTGATAGGAAAGAGACATTTGAGGGTGTGGGTGTGAGCGTATAAGTCATTCTTCTCTCATATTACACCCACTAGGACTCCCGGTAAACGTTTTAAAGGTAAAAAATCAATTCTGAATACCTGAATGGATTACTAGGTATCGGGGACACCTAGTACGAAATATCTTTGTCCTCTGACAGATTAGTTTTAAGTGAGTAGTGGGTGAAAGTACTAACATTTTTACATATGTTAACAAAAATAAAAAATTTCTGTAATGAATAATTACCTGAACATTTTCTGTTGGAACTTTGACTACTTTACCATCGCCAACCGATATACGAAGTTCTCCACTATCAAATTTAATTGTTTCATTAGGCTAAAACAAGAATTACATTTAATTTTTAATAACGGAAAAGTAACTGGAGATAAAAATTTATTCATTTTTACTTTCTTTGATAACAATGTCAATGAAAGATTTTTTTTTTCAACTAACCTTAGCATTTATATCAAGATTGTCTGGTAAAGTACTATTTCTTCTTTCTTCAATTTCTTTTTTAACAGTTTCTGGCATAAGATCATCTAAAGATTCAAGTTCACGTTGAGTAAACATATAATCCATAACTTTTCGTGCACCAACTAACGCTAAAACCATTATAGGAAATAATATTGATATACTTTTTATTGATTTTATAACCCATAATAAAATTAAACAAGTTAATTGAATAAATGTAAATAAATGTACACGACGTGTTCGAACATGTCGAAGATAAACATAATCTGGTTGATATTTTTCTGGCATAAATATTAATAATATACGAGATATTAATTGAATTTCTTTCATTGATGATATACCCATATAAAGAAAAACACCATAGAGTACAGGCATTGGTATAAAACCAAGAAATTTTGTTAAGAAAACCGATAAACCAATAAATAGAAATACAATAAAACCTGTAACACGTTGTTCTCTCACACCTAAAAACTTTGCTTTTTCTCCTGGTGCTGCTGTTTCTGATTCAAGTTTAAGTGCAATAACATGATTTATTGATAAAACAGTTGCAGCAACAAACCAAGGAAGACCAAGTATAGAGTTGATTGCAATACAAAGTGCAACAATTAATAAATCTAAATGATAACCACATCCTTTCTAGAAAAGCAAAAATATTTTTGTTATTTTTTAATCTATAAATCGAAGAAATTTTACTTTAAGTTTATTTTCTTTTCTATTAACAATAACTGCTGTTATTTGTTGATCCATAAAAATAAGTATTGTAGCTAATAATGCAGGTAATATAGCAGCAAAATACATTGGAACTGGAATTTTTGCAAATGGATTTATAATCCAACCTCGACCTTCTTTTGTTGTAGCAAATTTTTGTGGTACAGTTAATTTTGGTGTATCAAGTGCAACCATATAATCAATAAATACGTTAATAAATATTGCTAATACAACACCAAAATCGCTTACTTTTGAACGAATCTAAATTTAATAAAACCATACAAAAACAAAATGTTCGAAAAAATATTTTCAATACAAACAGTCATTGGTAAAAATCGAGTGAATTTAAAATTTTTTAATGTATATGCCATAACAAATGTTGATACAAAGAGAATAATTGAAAAGAAAAATACATCTGGAATAAATTGTTTAGTATTAATCGTATTACAATTTTCACCAATAAATTGAAACGATTGATTTCTATAACAATCCTAAATAATTGGAAAAAAAAACATTCTAAGAGATTTTTTGATTTTTGTTCTTGTTTTTAATTACATTTATTGTCATTGTAGAATTTTGATATCTTTTTCTTCTATTAGATATTAAACATGAACAATTCGGTGGAAGAATTTCATTGGTATGTAATCGTGCAGGTTGGTGATGATTTATTTCAATCATTTTATCAAAGGCTTCATAGATGAAAATAATACCAATAAGTGCAGCAAAACTTTCCTCTAAAAATAAATATAATTTCTTTGTATTTCATTTTGAAGAGATAACTAACCTGTAAATCTTGTTATATATTTTACCAAATAACTTGCATCAGTAACGACCATAGTCAGTAGAATAAATGCTGTCCATAAACCAATCCAACAACGAAAAGTCATATAATCATATCCGTGATTACTAAAATTAAAGTTTGATCAATTGAAATTTCGTCAAGGAATATAGTAGAATTTTTATACGTGCAAAAGGTATTAACAATTGTTTCAAAAACCAGTACAGGACCTGTACTACCTAAAATTGTTAATGGTTGACCAGCAAATAAATGATATAAACAACCGCAAATTGCACCTGATAAAAGACTTTCAATTGCAGCCTTTAAAATATGAATAAATCAATTTTTGTTCTTTTATTTTTAAAAAAAATTTTAATACCATATTTTGATTAGTTGCTTTACTGAGAAGACCGCCAAATGTAATTATTGGTGATAGACAAGCAAAATAAAGAAATATAATAGCCGCAAGAGATTGAAATGACATAGCATCAGTTAAATCTGACAAATAAAATGGTGCTTTACGTTTTATATCATCAATAAGACCACCACAAAATCTAATAATAAAAGAAGAAGAAGAAGAAAAAATTTAGAATTATATAAATTTTGTCATACCGTCCTGTTCTTGATAATGATGGATCAAATTCATGTTCAACATGTTCCATTTCCATTTGTGTTATACCATTCATTTTATTTCTATCAAGTCGATCTTCCTATATGAATTTTATACATTAATAGGAAGATAAAATATATTTTTTCTTACTTTATTTGGTACACTTTTTGGTGGTTCAATACGTGTTTTAGGATCCCATTCACCTGGTGGTAAAACTGTGACATGATCAAGGAAATCATCAATACCTATTTTAATAAAAAAAATTTTATTTTACATTTTTTTCTTTCAATTAATTCTACCTGCAAGTAGATCCTGTCGATTTCGACCTCGATAAGCAACATCATGAAAAATCTTTGAAAAGAAAACAATAAAGAAATAAAAAATTTTTAAGTAGTTAAAGTATACTTCATCAGACATTAATGTGGCAATAGAACGTCCAATTTCATGATAACGTAAATGTTCATTACATGGTCCAAGTAGAATAAAAAGAAAACGTGTTGGTAATGGAACTTCAAGAAGATCTGGTATAACAACACCTTTCGCCAGACGAACAAATGCATAGACAGGTGTTTGAAGAAAATCTACAGCACCAACTAAAACATTTGTTGCTTCCGCATTTGGTGGAACTTTTTTCATAAAAGCTAAATTAATCTACAAACAAAATTTCATCATAAAAAAATATAAATAATATAAAAAAAATATTTTTACCTTAGCACGAGATTCATGTGTTATCAAATTATTTGCTGTTTCATCATTTTCATTCGTACGAACTTTTGTTTGTTCGCCACTGCCAACTAAAACGAAATATTTTATTTATATTTAAAAATTAACAATTTTATTTTTATTCTATAATGTAGAATTCCCGAAACAGACTAATCACAAAACAAGGTTCTAGACATAGATAACAAATGATATACCTGAAAGAAATTTTTCCGGAGCAGTATCATTGTTTACTAATAAAAACTATTTAATAATTATTTATTTATTTTAATTTTACTTTTATGTGTTGGTGTTTGATTAGAAGTTGTTGGATCAATATTTGCCAATGTAACATCTTTTTGTGAACGATTTCGTGTTAATTCAGCAAATGAACGTGTAAATGGTAATGGTTTTCTTTGTTCTTGTGTATGTAAATGTCGATGAAATTCTTTTTCATGCTTGAATTAATAAACAGATCTTTATTTTCTTTTAATTTAAAAAAGAACTAAAACAAACCTGATGTATATGTTTAAGTAAAAGTGCATTACGTGTAAGAAAACGTTTTTCTGGTAATAATAATTTATTTGCAATCATATCATCAAGAACCATATCTATAATCATAAAACTAATGTGTAATAATAAATAATAAGTGAAAAAAACGAACCAATTATCATTGGAAATTGATCAGCTTGCATATCAAGTATAATGCTGCCATTAGTAATAAAATTTCGTAATTCAAGTAATGAATGTAATGATAATGTAGCGACATGTGGTTTACTCCATCGACCACCACTTTCAACATCTTCTTCAAATTTAACCCATCTTAAAAGGAAATTTTATATTTTATTTTGTTGAGAATAAAAATTTACCTTGCTGTTTCTTTCCAACCTTGTTCAAAACAATCGCCTGATTCATTTTGTTTATCACTATCAAGTAATAATTCATTAAGTTCAATAAATAAATCATGTGGTTTATGTTCTTCATCATCATCATCTTGATCTTCATCACCAAGTAAAAATTGTATACGTGCACTTGGATTATCTATATTATATAATTCAATTATGTTTTTTCGTTATTACAAGGAAACAAAATAGCGTTTTACCAATTTCATATGATTCAGTAGTTTCAATACTTGCAATTGATTTTGATGTAACATCAAATGATTCTCCTGATAAACGTGAACGACGATGATGTTTTTTGCGTCTTTCACCTGGATTATATTTTGTTAGACTTGGCTGATGATAAATTGATTTATGTCGATCTAATAATAATAATCATATGTATATATATATAAACAATAAATTTTCAATGTAAAAATCAATTACCATCATCGTTTAATATTGGACGAACTTCATTTCGTCGAAAATCCGAAATAGGAATGTTTGATGCTGATGTATTATCATTATTTGAATCAACTGGATTCGATGCTAATGATAAATAGGAGGGTAACCCATCGTCTGGATCATGCATATTTTCTAATAAATTTATTTCCTAGTAGATAATAGTCTAAAAGTTAAAAAAGAAGCCTATGATAGTGTGTCAACTGAGAAAATAGAGTCGTTATATAGGCACGCGTAAATCATTTAGTTAAGTGTTTAGCGCATCTGACTATCAATGAAGAAGATTGATCTCTCAGACGAAAGAAAAAGAAAAGAAGAAGGAGAAGAAGAAGACAACCCATAGATGTGTGGCTAGAGAAGTATGTCTGGAGAATTGATAATAGAAGACAAAATAGAACCATCCTATAATATGTAAACAGACGTGTTTTCTTGTTGTTGCTGGGCGTTTTTTTTCTCCTCTCATTTCGATATCAAACCTATTTTTGTTTCGTTCGTAGGAACATGTATATATTGTCTCTGTGTTGAGGATAAATTCGCGCGGAACAAACGAGTTCCGCCAAAAAAATATTATCGAGTGTATCTTACTACAAAATGTAAAGAAAAGAAAGAAAACAACTACTTGTAATGTGTATGCTGTCTGCAAAAAAAGGTCATTAAATGACCTTGGAACTAAACAGCTATATAAACATGAGGAGTATTGGAATATTTACTCCATATAGAAATCTTTTATCTAGATAAGAATATTATAGTTTATTAAAACTGAAATCAAATAGAGATATTTATCTATAATATCATTATAAAAACGATCGGATTGTATATAAAACTATCAAGTAATAGTAGACAACATCCCATTTTCCTGTTTTTTTTATCATTTGTTTAATTTGTATGTCTGATGACTCGAGGAGAAAAAGAATGCAGAGGAGAAGAAGAAGAAGGGGAAAAAAAGTGATTAAAAAGATATGTCTAATATAAACAAAATAAATATATCAGTTATATGAAAAGATTAACATACATTCAACGAACATCAATGACTTATTTTCAGTACAAATTCCTGTTATTATTATTACACAGACATAAATATTAAATGTGACACAAAGAGCATCTAACATACTATGCTATCTTTTTCTTTCAGTTTGGACGATAAATGTCTTTCGCCAATCATCATCATCATCATCATCATCATTTCTCTTTTTTTTCTTCTTCAATTTTCCTGTATCGTTCTACTATGTAAGAAAAAAAAAGGACGATACGAACAACAGCCTCAAAAATCAACGTTGCATTGCATTTCTTCTGTCTTTTTTTCTCTTCTTCTACTACGAACTTGTCGCTCTATTGATAATAACATTAGTTCGTAAGATTAGTATATAAGACCGGTTGAAATCTAATAATATAGCTTGCAGTATCGATAGTCTTTCAGTTGAATATCTTCTTAAAAAGATAACAAGAAATGGCATCATTCGTAGTCAATCATGTTTTCATTATTGTCAGAATATTTAAAAATAAAGTTTTTTTTAACTAACCTGTTTAACAAAAAAAAAGAATAATATTTTGCATGAAATGATGCTCAAGACAAGAGAGAAAAAAAAGAGTAGCGTTTTTTTTCTTTGTAGTATATACGTTAAAATGACAAGAATGAACTACTTATGAACGACACACAATTGATGTTGTTTTCGAAGAGAAAAAAAAAGAAGCATTGATTAAATCGTGGGCACTTGTATAGCATGTTGCATTTTTTTTTTCTTAAATTTGCTTCGTTGCTTACATTAACTAACGCGCTTATATCCGTATTTAGTTCTTTAATAATAGGTGCTACTGTAAATTGCAACTTCTTTTTCTCTCTTAGCTGACAACAACAACAAGAAGAAGAAAAATAATATTATAGACTATAAAGCAAAACCGAAAAATTTTCTTTCATTTATCAAAGTGTTATTCTTTCTTATTAAACAAGAAGAAAAAACTAAAGACAAAACAAATTTTGTAATCTTACATACAATTACATCAAGAATTCTTCTCAAGTATCAATAGTATAATTATTATCTGAGTATTGTTTCGATTTGACTGAATGGATTATATTTATTTCTATTGTTTGATTTTCTATTGAAATATATTAAGAATATAAGAAAAAAAAATTGCCTGATCAATGTAAACGATGTTAATCTTATAGAAATAATGTAAAAGAAAATAATGCAAGACATTCATATTAGCTCTAGAGCATGGTAGAACACGAAAGAAATACGAATCTAATAAGATATTTTTTTTCTCCTTTTTTTCTTCCTAGTACCAGATTATAATTGTTATTTGTAGTTTGAATCACAACATAGATATTTACAAGAAAGAATGCACATTTTTTTTTCTATACTGCGTGATTTTTTTCCAAATCAGAAATGAAATTAAGCTAGTACATTTAATTGTGACATACATTTTATAACTAATGACCTTTATAGGTCATACCTAAAGTAATATATAATTATCTCGTTTTTATTAAGTAACTGATAAATGTTTCTATGAAAATATTGTTGAGATTAATATATCAGTCTCAAATGAGTTTACTTTTCCCGTGTGAATAGATTGAACAATTTTCTATTATAATTCACGTTTTTTTTCTAATATTTATTTACGAACAACAGACAAGAAGCAAAAAAAACATTCTCTTAAGATTCTGTATAATAATGAAAGATTTTTTCGTGGGTTTCCGAATCAAATTTTGGTACAAAATCAATCGTTGTAATTTCATCTAAACCATCACTTGCTTTTGGTGCAACATAATTTTTCTTATACATATTATATCCAACATCTGCAATAACAAAAAAATCGATATTAAATTTTCTTTTTTTGTCAATTCATTATAACATACCTGGTATTCGACGAACATCACCAGATGTTTGATGAACACGGACATAATTTAAATGATGGCATAATTCTGTTGGTGTATTAAGAATAAAACAACGACATGGTATTTTATGTGATTTAGCTAGAGCAATATAATCTGCTCGAGTATCAGCACCTGGATTTGTATTATCAACAACAATACTTTTACCATTATTTAAAGCATCTTTTGATGCCTAAAATAATTAAATATAATAATTATATGAGAAAAAATAAAAATCCTACTTTAAGACATTTAGCTGCTGTTTGAAGTGTATCACGATTAATTAATTCGTAATTATGAGGTTTGAAATACCGACGAGCAAATGTACTTTTTCCTAGTAATTTAATAATTTAAATAGAAAGCATATTCAAATCTAATTGAAAACAAACCTGATGCAGGTGGACCTTGTAATATTACAACTTCTTGTGTCTATGAAAAGAAAACAACTATTATAAAAAACTAATTTTCTATTATGTTTAGTAATTACATTTTTATGGTAAGTTTGATTTGAATCGCCTTTAGGTAATTTACTAATAAATTCTCGTGGATTAATTGAACCCCACTGATATTTTGTTGTTGCTGCTTCATCAAGAAAACATTCTTCTGGTGTTTTAAATGCTAAAGAACGTATACGAGAAAAAAATTAATTAAAATAACATTGTTGCTATTTTAAAACTTACGTAAACCAATATTATTAGCATATTTTCTATCAGCACATGAGAAATCTTTTTTCACTCCTGGTTTCCAATTAGCTATACGACCAGCAGCATCACCACAATAAAAACTATTTTTTTTATCAATCTATTATTTCAATAACAATATTATAGTATAACATCAATGATTTATTGTGAACTTACTTCAATATTTTGATTACAATTTTCAACAAAATAATCAAACATTGATGTTGCTGGTTTACGAAAATGATTTTCACCAGTTGCAATAAATACATAGATAGGTGCACCGGTTTCGTCAATTAATTTTTCACATTTACGTTTAATATCATCTAATTTTGTATGTAGTTTTTCAATACCACCTTGATTAGTAAATATTATCAAACGATAACCATTTTCATGTAGTTCTTTAAGTTTTTTTGGAACGGTTTCATGCCACCATACCCAGTCTGCATGATCTATATGAGAAGAAAAGAAATTTAGAAAAAAAAAAAATTTATTTTTATTTCAAAAATACTTTTAGCAAATTTTGCTCCAGATTTAACATTAATCAATGTTGAATCCATATCAAATGCAGCAACTTTCGAACAACCAGGTAATTTATCATCATAGAGATAAACTAATGGAACAAAACCTTTAGATAATGGTTCACCTTGTTCATACCATTTTAAATTATATAGATTTGTTTCACCTTTGGAACGTTTTATTTCAGTATCAGCGTCTGTTGCAGCTTTGCGTTTCGTTGCTGTGCGTCCTGCCATTGTTAATATAGAATATTTCAAGGTAAAATATTGTATAAAATATAAATTTTTTCTGCCGTATTTATACAGGTATTTTTCTATTATTGACATTATTACATTGTCGTTGTGCAATAACACACGTAGTTTATGCTATTGGTTGCATGATGTATATCAATGAAAAAAAAGTCTTAATAAATGTTTGAAGATGTCATAGGGAATAAATACTGTCATCTAATTAATTAATTGAAAAAAATTAAAATCTGTAATAATTTATGTCAATTATTTTTTTATATTTTAAGAATTAATTCTAACAAGAACTCGTTATTTTTTTTTTCATTTATAATTAATAAAGCAACGGAGTCAAACATATATTTTTCAGGAATTACTTCAAGGTCTTCAGCTTTAAAAGGAAATGTGTAAGGAAATGTTTCGCTTATACAGGAAACACAGATACAAAAATTCTTCTATCTCTGCTGAATACTAACAAATAATTTTGAATACTTTGTATTAAATCCTGACATCGTCCCATTGACGATGCTTTTGTTGATTATTTTTTAATCATAGTGAAAGAATTGACATATAAACACAAGCACTATCATCAACAGTGAAATCACATCGAGGCATCAGTTGTTCATTCACTATGGTATACTCTCTCTCCCTCTCCATAAATTGTACTTTTCCTGTCGGATGTCGGCAGTGATCAAGTTAATATCAAAAAAAATATCCTAATCAATAAAATCCTAATATAACAAAAATATTTATTTTAATCTTAAAAAAACAACATACAATTCCTGTCTTTGATTATATTATTGTCTTTTGTGACTAATCTAAATCTCTTTCATTAGTTTAACTATTGCACAATATATAAGATCAATGCTTGATTAAACAAAAACAAAACAATATCTATTAATTTAATTAACTGTCTATATCCATTTGTTGTCGTCGAACAAGTTCTCGATAGATTCCATTATCAATTTCCATTAATTCTTCATGTGTACCTTGTTCAATTAATTGACCTTTATGTATAACAAATATTCTATCACAACGTTCAATTGTACTTAAACGATGTGCTGATATCAGAATAGTTCGTTGTTGTTGTTTATTTTTATTTAGAAATAATGCATCTTGAATCTAATTTAAACAAATAAAAAAAAAGAATTAATTTTAATACGAATATTTACTAATCGTTCATTAACAGGATCTAATGCTGATGTTGCTTCATCTAATAAAAGTATAGTTGGTTTTCGTATAAGAGCTCGAGCTATTGAAACTCGTTGCTTTTGACCACCTATTTTATTCGAAAATTTTCAAATATATTGTTTTTTTTTGGGTAAATAAAATTCAAACCTGATAAATGACCACCTCGTTGTCCACACATAGTCTCATAACCATTAACAAGATCAATAACAAATCCATGTGCATTTGCTTGTTCAGCTGCATGAATCATTGCTGTATCATTGTCATTATCATTTATTGCATAAATAATATTTTCTTTAATAGATCGATTAAATAAAACAGGTTCTTGTCCAACCATCGCTATTTTTCTATGAAGATATTTATGATCATAATCTTGAATTTCTTGACCATCAATTAATATTGTTCCACTACTTGGATCATAAAAACGTTCAAGTAAATTAATACACGAAGATTTTCCTAAATAATAAAGTATAAAATAAATAATAATAATAATATTGATGAACTTTACCAGAACCCGATGGTCCAACAAAAGCACATGTTTGACCTGCTTGAATATGAAATGTCATGTTCTAGAAAACAAAAACAAAAATAAATCGCATAAGAAAAATAAATAAATTTACCCGAATAGCAACTTCATCTGGCCGTGCTGGATAAGCGAGTGATACATTTTTGAATTCAATTTCACCTTGTAATTCATTTGGTTGAAGTGTACCATTTGGAAGTTGTAATGGTTTACGATCAAGATAATCAAATACAGACTGGCTAGCACCAGCCGCTGCCATTAACGATGTATAAATTTGAGAAATATCCTTTAAAAAAAAGTTTTGTCTTTTTAAAAATAATAAAATATATTTTACTTACATTTAATATTGATCCAAGTGTTAATTGATATATAACAAATGCAAGTAAATCTGGTCCACTAATATGATTTTCATATACAAGTTTCGCGCCATATGAAAGCATGATAACACTCATACCAAGTTGAGCTAACTATTCAACAAAAAAAAAAAAAGGGAATATATTTTGCGGTCAGTAAAATAATTAAAATATCAGTAAAAAATTCACACGTAGTTAGTAGATTTTGTGGAAGTAACACTCAAAAAATATGATTTTTGTTAGTAAAAAAAGAAAAGTAAACCATCTTTGCACAAGTTCATATTTTTTTACTTTCCATTCCATTTTATTTACTGATCGTTTACATTTTATTATGAACCTATCAAATTAATTACTGACCATTTCAATAATTCTACTGATTTTTGAGTTGTTTGTTTTACTGACCACTTAAATGACACCCAAAACAATATAGTTAGCTGTGAACAAAATTTTAACTCTTATTTTCCTTACTTCAACAAACCATTTTTGTGCAGCTGATAATGCAGCTTGTACAAGTGACGCTTTATAAGCTAGATGAAGAATATCAGCAAATCGTTTTAATTCACCCTCTTCATTTCCAAAACTTCTAACTGTTCGTATTGTTTGAATAGTTTCTTCCGCTATTTCTGATGCATCAGCTGATAAATCTTGAACTTTTTCTGATATACGTCTATGAGCATTTCCACTAAATTTAGCAACGATTAATATAAGTGGTGCACCAATAAGACAAGCAACTGTTAAATGTAAACTTAATTTAATCATCATTACAAATGTACCAACTAGAAAAAAATTTGTATTAAACTTTGTTTATGATCAGGTAAGAGAATTCCTCAGCTTCTGATATTTTGAATTAAAGATTCATTTTTTTTGTGGTTTAACTTACTAAATTTTACAAGTGCACCAATACATTGTGCAATATTATTTGCTACAGTTGAACTCATTATTTGTGTATCTTGATTAAGACGTGAAAGTAATTTTCCACTTTCATGTGTATCAAAAAAGCCAATTTCTTGTCGTAAATATGATTGAAATAATTTTGTTCGAAGACGTATATTAAGACGTGATATACATATTGCAAATACACCAATACGAAATCCACCAAGAAATCCTCTAAAGATAAGAGAATTCAATCTTATATTTCAAGGTTTATTTTTTTTGTGATTATATTTACCCAACAAAATTCACGATAACAAACATTATTAAATTATGTTTAAATCGTTTTGCTTCATCTTTAAATGCAACACTAGACAAAAGTCTACCTGTATATAATGGAACAAAAATTTCAGCTAAAATTAATAAATAAAAAGACAATTTTTTTTGATAAATTACTACTTGCATATGGCACCGCCTAATAAAAGTATTGTTCCGAATGTAATCAATGGCCAATCGGATCGACTATATCGAAACAGACGTTTCAGTACACGTTGTTGTTTACGCTTTAGTTCTGGCTCTGTTGTTTTAATAGAGAAAAAAACAAAATAGGATGACTTTTTTTTGTTATTGTGAAAAATAATTCTTAAATCTACCGGTTTCTTGTTTTTTTGAACGACTCATAATTAAGAAAAATAAAAGCGAAGATGGATTAAACAAACAAAACTAAAATATTATTATCAGTCATGCTTTCATTCTTCTTCTTCTTCTTCTTTCTGCTATTTTTATGATAAAGGAAGGAAAAAAAAGAAGAAGATTGTTCCATTCGTCTGACAGAATATTATGTGTGCTACAAAAGAGGTCTGTATATGACGAGAAAAAATCACATTGAAACTCTACATTCAATGATAGTACATATTATCATTTAGATTAATAAATTGAA